CCCACCCCCCAGCCACTAGACCCGTGAGGCAGACTGTCTCCAAATGAAGGGCCCTGTGGTCACATGGTGTAAGAACTCCACCCTGAGATAGCAGAGCACCTGTGCCCTAAATCAAGAGCCCCACTGGCAATGACAGAGACCTCACCCCTGTGTACCTGGGCAGGGCGGTAGGCCAGTGCAGCCTCGCTGTTCATAGGCTGATCCTGGGCAGGCATTCCCAGGAGGGTGCTTGGAGGGCTCAGGTGCAGAACATGTGCGGCTTCGTGTTTCCACAACTGCGTGGGGTCCACCTTGGCAGGAGCCTGAGCAGGGGCTCCAGGGTCCCCAGGCAGCCCAGGCCCCATGAGCTGTAATGGGGTGGGTGCAGTATGGTCATGCATGAAGTCCTGGCAGTTCCCTGCTATAATCCCACAGACCCATCCTGGGTGTCGCCATCAGTATCCTGTGGCTACCCTTACTCACTGGGGCAGATCTGCTGGGTGTCACAGACTTCGGACTCCTGGGCTTCTCCTGGGCAGCGGCCTCCACACTTGGGAGCAGGGCGATTGCATGCTCGCTGGCGGATCCGGACCCCTTTGGAGCAAGAGACAGAGCAAGGCTTCCAGGGCCCCCAGTCAGACCAGCCACCCATCTCTGTGGAAGAGATGACAAAGGGGAGCGGATAGAGATGGGGTGTTAGTCAGGGCTCCTTTCTTCTTCTCATGCACCCTGTATCAGCTAATTCTGTCACCAGATCTTCTGCCACCACAGCTGGTCCACCATCACTGCTCATTCGGAAGACTGTAGCAACCTGTCACATGGGCCCCTCTGCTTCATCCCTTGCCATGTGTGGCCTGTCTCCTCCCAAGTCAGATTAGATGAGGACATCTTTCCCTTGTCCACAAGGTGAATGGCTCAGATGAAAAGTCAACGTTCTTACCATGGCCCACAAGGGTCAGTTACCCTCCCTTCTCTGACCTTACCTCCCACCACTCTCCTCTGCCACACCCGCCTCCTCCTTAGTTCTTTATAAACATCAGGCACAGGTCCGCCATCAGGGCCTCTGCAGATTATTCCCATGCAGGGTAACTGGAGTGCCTGCTGCTCCTCCTCACCCGGACAGCATGGCTGGTCCTCACAGGCCTGTCCCTGCCACTCCAGGGTACCAGGTGCCACTTTCTCAGGGCAGTGCCCATCCATGCCCACGCAGCGACGGTGCCTCAGTTGGGAGCCCTCAGAGCATGACACTGAGCAGGGAGCCCATACAGACCATGATGACCATTGCGAGGACCTATGGACAGAAGCATGAGCTGGTGGGACTCTAGAGTGTGGGTGGGCATGCAGGGAGTGCTGGGTAAGTGTGTGGGATGGATCGACGAGTACCTATCGCTTAGGGATATTGGGGAATTGAATAGGAAGAAGTGAGTAGACAGAAAGTGCTTGATGAATGTCATTTACCTTCATGATCAAGGAACTGCAGTTACTCTTAGAAGTTCCCCAAGGACATGCCAGGCATGAAGTAGGCAAATATAAGGACTAGAGACCTGAAACTGCTATCAGAAACTCACCATGTTGGGACCAGCAAGTGGCGTAATAGCTATGTCACTGGACTCCCACATAGTTGACCACAGTTCGAGTCCTGCACCTGGTGGCTTAAAAACTCACACTGGGCACGTGTGTGTGCGTGCCCAAGATCCTGAGAGGAGATTGGAAGAGAAAGGATAGTGGTGTGGCCATCCCCCCTGGGGGGTGGTTTCTTGTTTTCTGTCTCTCTGTCTGTCTCTCCAGTGAGTCTATGTGCCCTATAGCATCTCGCTGAAAAAAAAAAAAAAAAAAAAAAAGAAGCCCACCACGTCACCACCCTACACAGTAGCAGGCAAACAGGACGTGCTTAATACACAGATGCCATCATCCCAATGAGCTCAGAGGCCTCCTCAGTAATATCCAAGATCTATCCCCAACTCCTTGCACAGCCATGGGTATGTCATTAATGCTAAACAGATGTGAACTGCTGACATGACTAGTGGCCCAGAGCTACCTTCAAGAAGCCTTAAACTTGGGCTCAGCAGTTAAGGGAGATGTATCTCACATGGCTACTGTGGCTTGAATCCTAGCCCTAGTAGCTTGAACACACTGGGCACGTATGCATACATGCCCTAAATCCTGACAGGCTGGAGAAATGGAGCAGGGATTGTGGTGTGACCACACCTTACTGGGGGGTTCTTTATCCCTTTCCCTCTCTTTGGCGAGCACATAAACCCACTGGCGATTAAAAAAACAAAATCCCCAAGTTCCCCAACCTGACAGTGTATCTAAAATATACACTAAACAGTTAAGCAGTGTATCTAGGGGGCTGACCCTATAGTCTAGCAGTTAAGATAGCTGGATTCTACATGGCTGACTATGATTTGAATCCTGATCCTGGTGGCTTGAAAAATATGCCAGGCAGGTGAACGCATGCATGCCCCAAATTCTGATAGGACAGAGAAATGGAAGAGAAGGGACTGCGGTGTGATTACACCCCAATGGGGAGGTGCTTTCTCCCTCTCCTTCTCTGTGTCTCTCTGGTAAGCACATGAACCCTCTGGCAATTAAAAAAAGAAGAAAGTATATCTGAAATATGGCAAGGGCTCAATACAAGTAAGCTGGAAATCATGATTAGGAGACTAGAGAATCAGAATCTTCAAGCTGCCCCTGCAATATGCCTGGTAGGCAGAAGGCACTCAATGTATGTGAAGTGTCATCATAACTAGGGGCCAGAAGGTACCCTCAGAATCCCCCAATCTCTCTCTCCCACCCCTCTCCCCCACAATGTGTCTGTATACAGTAAGCATGCAATAAATATGAAGTGTCATCACAATTAGGGGACTAGAGTTACCTTCAGAAACACCCGAGCTGTGCCCCACCTGCAACACTTCCAGAGTGTAGGAATTACTCCATACATGCAAGCTATGGCAGGGGAGATCTTGCCCCTCAGGGGACAGTTGGATATGCCTGGAGACATTTTTGGTTGGCACAACTTGTGGGAAGGAGTTGCTACTGGTACCTAGTGGGAGGCCAGGGATGTTACAAAATATCCTACAACGCACAGGATGCACAGGTCAGCACCCTCCCCCTCCAGTCCCCCCCCCAACAATGAAGAATTTTCCAGTCTCAAATGTCAACAGTGCCAAAGTTGAGAAACCTGGAGATATGGCCATGATTGGGGCCCGATCTGGGCCCAGAGAAAGAAAAAGCCCAGTTCTGTATCATTCAGCAGACGGCTCTTTTGGCTTCCCATGCACCCCAGGCTCCCACTGACCTGCAAGGCTGACAGAGCCCACTGCCCTGCTTCTGGAAGCCGTAGGCAGCATTGAGGCAGCAGTCTTCCACACTGACACCTCCCCCCAGAAGGTCCTTGCACTTGCCGGACTCCTCATACCGGGAGAAGCAGAGCACAGGGTCTGAACCTGTAATGGGGTCGGGGTGAGGGAGGCATGGTCAGGAATGTGGTGGGCCTGGGCACCCAGTGTCAGTTTGGGTCCTTACCCACTCACCTGTGGCTGGCAGGCCTGCCGGGGGGAGCAGCAGCAGCAGTAGCACCGGTGGTGGCAGCAGCCTCCCAGGGGCCTGCACTTGGGTGGTCATGTTGAACACTGCACCCCTGCACCCCGCCAGACAGGAGGCCTGGCTTTATCTGGGCTGACCTGCTCCACCAGTCAGCAGGGAAAGA